CAATTTATAGATCTTTCTGATTTTGTATTAAAATTTTGTAATCAGTTGAAAAACATAGCAATGAATATTCTTTTTCTTGTATACTGTTTATGTAACCTTTCATTACCTGCAAAATTTGATTTTTCTTGTTTGGAAATTCTTGTAGATAATTTGGTTGAATATTTTTGATATTTGCAGGGGAAGATTTTAAACCTCCAAAGTTTATCAGTTACACAATAAATTTTCAAAAAGACAATATTAACTAAATAAAATTGGTATTTTTGTTTGCGTCGACATTTTATGAAATGGAAAACTTAACTCTGTTAAAAAAACTATTTATTTTTAAGAAAATAGTGATGTGGATTTAATTTATCTTTCTAATTTTTTTGCATAGTGTGGTTGATGTAGATAATATGTTGAAAGGATAAATCATAGGAGTAGAGTAAGTTGCATAGTAACAGTGGAAATAAATTAATCAAGTTGGTTTATATTCAGAATACCAAGTACGACTGATTCTGTTTCTTCAAATGGTAACAAAGTATATGTTTTGATGCACCAATCAAAAATTCATTTCGAAAACGAAAACTAAAAAAATAAACCTGAGTGGTCATCATTTTAGCTAAAAGAAAGAAAAAAAAAGATTCTTGAAAGAAATTAAAACTTTCCTAAAACTTTCTTTGTCTGGTAACGTGATGCTGAACAAGACATCAATCAAATTTTATAAATTATACACAATTTTATGCAATCACTGCAATGTAATTACGTAGGTGATGATGCTATTTTTTTTGTATTTTGTAATAAAGAAATACAGTTTAAGATTCCAATAATTGTTTCCTGAGTTCTAACACTCGCTGTTGTTGTCGTTTTCTGTGAAGAACTTGAAAGAGAATCTCAAATTTTCTTCTGCGTCTGTCCCCACAAAGTATAATACTAGTAAAATTTAAATTCGCGACTGTTTAAACGCTATTTAATCACATTTTTAATCTGTTGACCAAAAAAAAAATCACATTTTTAATCTAAGTTTATAAGAAATGATTACGCATTCATTAATTGTGAATCTAATCACTTACCATTAATACAGTTA